AGTAAAAAAATATTAGGAAAAACTAGCAGTAAAGTGTATACTTTTTTCATACTATATAAGGACTTTTATGATCCAGGACAGTTTCCTTTGCTGACCTCACCTCCAAACACATGCCCTAAGAGGACATCCTGAACCTCTGTCCACAGAAGCCCAGTGAAATCTGCTCTTCATCACATTTCTGTGCTTTGCATTTTCTGTTTTCTTAGGACTTCCAGGACTAGATTCTCAGCTCACTGCTTAACCATCCTTCAAAGCTAACATCAGGCATTTTTCTCTACCCAAAAGCCTTTCTTCACCTCCCCAGGAAGAATTATGAGATCTCACTGTGTTCCCTCTGCAAGTGAATTCACTATTTTTACATCTGCTTTCTTCTTTAGATGGAATCCCCCAGACCTCAAATGTGTTCTATTTATTTCTCCTTCACAGAATAATAACTGGCACATAGTTTAAAATCGCAAATATTAAGAATAAATGAAACTGCTCTATTGACACAAAATGTGCACAATCCTAATATATGACAAGATATTTTCAGAATTAAAATAAAAATCTCACTGATTTATACAAAATACAATGAAATATGCATGTGTGACTAACGTGTCTACATTTTTTTTAATGAGCAGAACTTCTTCTTCAAAGGAAGTCTTAAATAGAGCTTCCCTTTTTAAACCTGATATCAGTCCATCCCCAGGCTGCTGATTCTGCACGTTCCAGCACTCAAAGCATCTACCAAAAACCCCAAGTCTCCAAGACCAGAGCTTGAAAAATACTGGGCTCGACTTATTTCACATTCACTTTTGCTTTGCTTCTGCCCACTAACCAGCAATGACATAAACAAGTGTTTGTTGAAAATGACATTTAAAATAGAAGACAACATCAGCTAGGAAGTTCAGGTCTTGGTGTTTCTTTATTGATCTGCTTTTGAAGTCTTGCGATTGTTTCCAAAGGTGACCCTTGCCAAGTGAGAATGTTTCCTTGGCAACAGGAATGACTGCTTCCAGCATGTACAGAAAATGCATCTCTGTTTGTTTTGTACTCAACTACCACCCTGAGATGCTATATTGCTGCAAAGAAAGCAAGAACCTCTCATTTTTAAGTACCGTATTGGCTTTCCAGCTCATAGACTGCACATTACTCTGGGAAACAAGAGGTAATGGTAATTATCTAGTAATAATTTCCTCATTTTACAAAAAGAACACAACCTCTCCATTGATGCATCTTTATTCTCTCTCCCTAATTACCCCACATGTCTGCCTATGCCCGCACAAACACACACAGGCATGCACACACACACAAACGTACACATGCCGCATTCTTTCTTCCTTTGTATTTTTCATTTTCAGTGTTAAATTTCTGTGTCAATTATCTCATTTGTTTCACTTATTTTCTATTTCCAGTAACGGCTTCTTCACACATTTCAGTTTCCAACGTCAAGCACATTACAAACCGGAATTAAGCATCAACATATGAGGACCAAAAATGGGCTGGGCGGCAGCAACTGACACTTGGTCAGCCCACATTGCCCAGCGTTATTGCAAAAGGATTGAAAAAGGACATGGAAAAATATAATAGAACATTAAATTAATGTTGTTTATGATCAAGTCCCCCTTCAATTCACATTTTTCATATTCTTTTAAATAGTATAGCAGCATTTTATTTGTTGTGCTTTATGTCTCTGAAATTGCCATAAAGAATTTTCCTTCATAACAAGAAAAATATTTTAAATTGCTTTTCAAACAGTTCTGCAGCCATATCACAAGAGGGCTGGAAAACTTACTGCTTCAGACATGCCCTTATATTAATGGAATTGTTTTATCTGGATTGGATTTTGTGTTCATAAAAGGAAAGAAAATTAAGTCATATAGAGTTTACTTCTAGATACTATAGTTATGCTAATTTCAGTGGGCAAATTAGTAAATGAACTATATTTTTAAAGAGCTCAATAAATTAGATTTTAGAATGACATATCAAAAGTCTCAAACTCATAGCCTAACTACTTCAATGTAGAATGTACAGAATCCCTAACAAATATGCAAGGGCTTCTGGCACCTCCAAAGTACCCGTGGGATACAAATGTTAAAATGTCATTCAACAGGTAGTGTTATAAATCCATGAATTTAAAATACATTTTATTCTAATAAACTTGGAAATTTAGATCCTCCATGAACCTGAGAAATAATGCAATCCCTTATTTTATTTATAAGAAAACAAACACCAAGAAACAGTAAAAAATATACTCATGCAGGTTAGTTGCTGGCCTTCAACTCATATCAGAAAGGCTTTTGATTCTTATTGGCTTCACATATCAAATGTTCACCTCAAGTTTTCTTCAAGACAAGAATTGCATTTTGCCTTCATTGTTATGTGTTTTATTTTATAACTTAATACTCATCTTTCAATAATTTCTAACAAATTGTTCATGCATGTAAGTATGTAGCATCAATTGGGGATGTTTCCAACTGAAAATAACAGAAAACATTTGATAAATATTGGATAATTCTTGCGACATCAAGAGCAGCTTTGAAGAAGGGAGCTAATGTTGGTTCAGTGGTTTGGCCACATTGAGACTGGCATCTCTGAAATTCTCTTGCAATTTCTCATGTTTTCCTCTAAGCAGTCCAGTCTGCCTTCAAGAAAGAAGGGAGAAGGGTCCCTGCCAGCCTTTACATTGGGTAATGTTTTATCACATCCCCTGATGTCAGGTAAAGCCAAATCTTTCATGGAGCTCTCAGCAAGATTATGCTCATGTCACATTTTCCAGAACTAAAGCGTATAGCCACTATCACTGCAAAGGAGAATGGAGATGTGAGAATTCAGGTTTTTCAACTGTTATGGCAGAAGTAGTAATGGGGAAATTGATTTGAAATACCTTAGGGTGAGCTAAAAAGATTGGATGCTTATTGGAAGATAGACAGATGATAGGTGGATAGCTAGAGAAAGAAACTATTAAAGAGATCAAGAAAGAAAATAAGAAAAATGTACTCCACAGCAATCTTAAAAAGGAAAATGAATTATCCAAAGTAGGAAATAGAGATGATATGAAGCCGCATATAGAATAAATGTTTGCCAAATTTTTCCAGGTGGAAGATCTGAAGTGTGCTCAGTGGACACTCATTTGTTACCAAAGCAGTCCAATAGAGAGTGTGCAGCAATTTCAGTAGACATTAAGAATCTGTGTGTGTTGCTAATTGGCAGGTCAAGAAAAAAGACCAGGTAAACTATTGCTAAGAAATTTTAGCCACTTATGAATGACCAAAATTTAAAATCACCACACTGTATGAATAATGCAAATAATTTTTGCATACTCTTCTTAACACAGAATTTGGAAGGACTATATTATTACAAGTTATTTGTTTTTTACCTTTAAAAATCACTTGCAAGTATTCTGAAAGTGCTTACAAATATTTACAGAAGCTCTTTCTTTTCCATTAGGTCAGTGCCATACATTATGGAAGCAACAGAGGCTATGTGAATTGCCATAGTATAAACTTAGCAGCTTTGCTTTCTTAGGCATTTTTACCCCTTTATCCTCCTGAAAACAAATGTGAAAGTGTAGCTGCCTCTTCCATCTAGGACCCCTGCTGGGACGCAAGCTCCATGAGAGTAGAGGCTCTGGTTTGGTTTTTTTTGTTTGTTTGTTTTTTCTGCTGTGTCACTAGTATTTACAACAGTGCCTGGCACAAAATAGTCATTCAATAAATAGTTGTTGCCTGGGTAGGTAAAAATTAATTCACTCAAGGCCAATTGCCTATTAGGCAAATATCATTCCACTTTGAGGTGGAAGTCAATAAACTCTGCTAAACTCTACTGCAACACAGATTGTACAACAACAGAGTTAAATATCAATTCCTCCTTCAGAAAACAGCTCATTGATCCAAGGGATTAGACTATAAATGTCTTGAGAGTGAGAACCACATGCTTATCTTTTTGTCTCCATTACCAAGTCCAAAGCCTGATGCATAATAAATGTTTGTAAAATGAATTGCTAACCAGATTTTATATTGAGTAATTATTAAAGTGGTGCGAATCAATAGTTTAGTTCAAACCATTAAAATAAAACTAAATTGATATGTTTCCAATGAACATACAACCCTAGAACTTCATTCCAAAGAATATTATTCAAGTTCAAAAGCATTCAGTTTTCCAACCAGAAGGCCAATGAAAATCTCAGAGGAAATTCATAAGACCCAAGTCAGAGCTAAGCATACACTCTCACATACACACACACACACACACACACACACATATACTCACACATTCATACATCGTGGAGCACTTTGTTTTTGCAGATCACTCTGGGCTAGAACCACTGATTATTTCCAAAAAGAATAAAAGGATGTTATTAAGAACCCTAGTGGGCTTTTCTCTGAGATTTAGAACCAAATAACCCTATGGATAAAATAAGATTCTATAAAATCATGTTTCTTTGTTAATTTTTATCTATGCAATCCAAGTGCAATTTGTAAGAAGTGAAAATGGAGATAATATGATTCTTTATGGCTGAAAGATTAAAAACATTGCTTTATTTAAATTCGCTATTTTTTATCACTACTCAAACCAAGAGCCTTAAAGTAAACCTCACCATTAACACCATGGTACAATTTTATAACAGAGCAGCAGATAAGGTGAATGTATGAATTTTCAACAAGTCAGATGCTGCACCCATTGAAACATTTTTGAAACAGGTCCTACTCTTTCAGTTGTGTTTCTACTATGCTGCATGCAAGCTTAGGTAGGTGAGCATGAGCCGTGCTAATATCCTGTGAGTATGAAAGTACATACCGCTCTCATCAATTTAAATGAAGCCATGAAAAGTGCAGTATCTTTCTTGCATAAGTGCAAGCACAAAAACATATTTGGTTTAGGCATTTTATTTCATGAAATAAGAAGGAACCAAAAAAAAAAAAAAAAAAAAAAAAAAAAACAAAGCAAAACATGCAAAAACAAAAGACAGGAATAAGTCAGTTGGAAACCAGAAGGCTGAAGCGTTAATTGAACATTACCTTTTTTTCCTAGCGAGGAAGATGCATCATGGTCATTGCTGTCTTTTCTCACAGTGCTGATTTCAAACCCCCAGCTGAGGAAGCAGCTGTGCAGAGCAAGGAACCGGTGAGCGCAGCAGGAGTCCTGTATCCTAATGGTACTCCCAGAGATTCATGCTTTCTTTCTCAGTGGCTGTGTTGTCATTAACAATGCCAGAAATGTGAAGTTTGTCCTCTTTTCCACAGCAGTACTAAAAAGATCATAGTGATGGTTTCTTTAAAGACTTCAAAAGCCTAAATCACCCTGTTTTTATTGTTATTTATTTTCTATGCAGCCTCTGACAAGCCGGCATTGGCTAGTTTTCAAGATATTTGAAATTCTGGAGAGCTTTCATTAATCATAATGTTAATGGAATAGATGGCAAAACAGACATGAAAGTTGAAGCATATGGCAGAGGGAGCTGACTGCTTTTACCCCCCATCCCCATGACAAAAAAAGAAAAAAGAAAGATGCTTCATAGTTACACTGCAATTTTTTTCCCTAGATTGCAACGTTGTAACCCTTATCTTTCAATGAAAAAAAAAGGAACTGTTTTAAGCCTCAGATAAAAGTAGCAATACAAAATTAACTGCAACCTAAAGTAAAGCTACATTTCTTAAAAGCTCTTGAAAATTGAATTAATTTATATCTGTTCCTACATAGTGGCATTAAAAATGTTTTATGAAGTACTCTGGAAATGACTTGAAAAATAATTACGGGGAAAGTACTGAGCAACATAATGGCTGCAGGGCATGATTGATGCAGTAAGATTGTGATAAATGAATAAAGCATGTCATTTTCAGAGCTGAGAATCCTGGTGCCATTTAGCCTTCAAAATCAAAGGAAAAGCAATTGTTTATATTTCTGAAACTATCATAGATTTTAAATATATATATATGCATAATGTATGAAATCACATACTTACAAAATATACATGTGTGTTGATATGGATATTTAAAGACATTCAGCTTCAGTATTTAAAATAGTATTTACTGTGTCTCGATACTTATAATGATTATTAAAATACTTAAAATCAAACATCAGCCATTTAAAATATATATTTTATTATGCAGCACATTTTCTTTTTACCTCAAAACTACAATCAGATATAAAAATCAGTACAAAATGTCTGATAAAGAAAAATATATTCTAAGTAATTTTAGGAGTGTCTTTTATTAATACTCACTTAATTTTATAGGTCAGTCTGAAGAAAGATATAGATATGAAGTATTAACATTCAGAAATTCTCATTTACTTATGGATTTTGTCATCCAAAAGGTATTTATAACAATATGCTTAGTTATATAATACAATAACAATATACTTAATGTCTAGAACTTTATCACTGTAATTTAAAACAAAGATTACATAAAACAAAAATTCAGATTAAAACATTATTGACACATCATCTGTCAGGAAGTTGCCTTTGTTTTGCAAATGAAGTTCCAACAAAAATTATTTGGGAAAATAGAAAATTAATTATTTTGGAGCATGGTGAGAAACACAATTAATAGAAAACTAATACATAGCTATTCTAGAGTAGCAAATTACCACAAATTTTTAAGCTTAAAGCAAAACATAGTTATCTTATTTTGGGAAATTTAAGTTCACTCATCTATAGAGAATTATGCAGGTCAAATATGTTGTCATAAACTTTTGCTATATACTTATAATAATTTCTTTTTTCTTATTCATTCATTTATGCACAATATTTATTGTGATTTCTGTTAATAGTTGACTTTAAAATTTATTTATTTTTTTACAGACAGGGTCTCACTGTGTTGCTCAGGCTGGTCTTGAACACCTGGGCTCAAGCAATCCACTCACCTCAGCCTCCCCAGTAGCTGGGACTACAGGTGTGTGCCATTGAGTCCAGCAACAGTTGATATTTTTGCCCTGAAAATTATTTATGTAAGATTTTGTCTAGTAAAACACCATTTCCAAAACTAGCAAATATTCACTTTTAACATCAACAAATATATTCAAGTCAATCCAAAGATGCTATTCAATATAAGAAAATGAACTTGATAGCTATTGGGAAATTGAATAGAATAATAACATCCATAACAGTAATATGTTAGAATTGTATTTCTCACCATGCTCCAAAATAATTTCAAATGGATTAAATATTTAAACTTAATAGTTGAATCAAGTTTGGGCTGTTAGGAGAATGGTAGAAAGGCATGGTAAAAAGCACCAAGAAAAAAAAAATAGACCAATGGAACCATATATAGTTTTAACATGCAAAAAAATATTTTTAGACTATATTATAAAAAGTATATTCAACTTATTACTTGAAGAGCTAAAATGGAGCACAAGGCCTCAGTTGACTAATTGACAAAACATGAACAAATATTCCAAAAAGAACAAATGCAACCCATAAAGACACATGTAAAAAAATAAGAAATTCAACCTTACAAATAATTATAGAAATTCAAGTTAAAAATTTGATTCCATATTCTCCTATTAAATAATCAATTTTTAAAATATGTAATTCCCAACAATGATGGAGATAGAGTATTTTATTTTATGTTAATAATTAAGGGAGGGGAGAGGGAAGAGGGGAAAATACCTACCTAATAGGTACAATGTATACTATTTGGGTGATAGGCATGCTTATGGCAGTGACTCAAGCATTACGAAAGCAATCCATGTAACGAAAAACATTTGTACCCCTTAATATTTTGAAATTTAAAAAAATAGTTCAAACTGATAATGCAGCAATTTGGTAGAAAAATATAGCAATAGAAGAGACCAAAGAAAAATGACCAAGCATTTGATCCTAAAAGCCATTGCTGGGATCTGGGTGTTGTTTTTTTTTTTTTAAAGCTATATTTATAAATATGCCCAGCATATTATATCATGGAATTGAAAAAGTAAAAAAGATAAATGTCCAACAAAAAGTAAATAGTGTCAGAGAATGACAACTGGCCCTGGCAGCTGGCAGTGAGGGCTGGGCTGTGATAAACACACTAAGTACCAACAATGAGGAGACAAGATATGTCTGTGGCCATGTCTACAACATGACAGAGACAAGGGCACTCTGCAACCACAAAAGAACTAAAGACCCCTCTTTTTATACTAATCCTAGCCACTTCTGCTTATTTACCTGTGACAATGCAGCATTGCTTTGATCCTCCCACCCCCTAGAAAATAATTACCAAGACACTCAATCCCTGAATTGTCCCCCACTTTCTGACAGCATCCCATTCAGACATGGTCCCCTCTTCTTAATGCCCTATTACTAATAGAATCACTCCACATGAGCCCAAATCCTTTATTTCATCAGCTTCATCCCAAATCATCCCACTGAGACCTCCACAATTTCCCTGGTGAGCATTCTCCTTTGCTGCAGCGAGCTACATAAACCTCATTTTATTTCACTCAGATGTGTTTGCAGATGTTTGGTTAGTGGATTTTTAAAAAGTTGAACTGTGACTGTCTATTATATTATTATGCAGCCATTCAAATGATTGCATGAAGAAAGGTAAAACATGACAATACCTACATGAAAAATATACAAAGAAAATATACCAAGTGCTATGGTTGAACACTGAGTTTATTGGTGGTATTCCTTCTAGTAATTTTTTTCCTTATTTTCTTCTCTACTTTCTAACTTTCTTGAATTTGAGTAAATTCTATGTCTAATAAAAAGCATTTTGTTAAAAATATATGTGTGTGAAGAAAACAAAACCTCTTCCCTCAAATAGGAGAGCTATGTATCTTATACACTCATTTTTTTCTATGTATTCCACAAGGAATAAATGTGCACATAACCAGTATAGGTATTAGTAATTAATTAATTAATTCAATCCTCTAAAGTTCATCAATATAAGGACTGATTAATTCATATACATAATTAGTTGATTTATTGATACATATAATGAGTTCATATGCATTAGTAATTATTTGACACATACAATAATGCAATAATCAATTCCTTTACAGGTTCATTCATTTATTCTTTTTTTCACACATTTATTATTTCATCAAATATACATTGAGCTTCTTTAATTTTTCAGACTTAGGAGTAGGTGACAATGAGGCAGAGTTGAACATGAACTGCCTACTGGAGTGGAGCTCACTCTGCAGGGGGCAGGTAGAGAAGGTAGATACAGGTACATTATAAAGCACTCTTTCTCATACACAGATGATTCTATGTGAGTGGTGTCAAGGCAACACCTACTCCTTGGGTGATAGAGGCTGGGAGTGGTCAGAGAAGACTTCAAAGAGGAGGGATGCTTACCATAAGTCCTTAATAACAAGTACATGTTTGTCAGGCAAAGGACAGAAAGAAGAGTATATAATTAAGGCTTAAAATGAGAAAGACAATTAACACTTTGAGCAATTAGAGAAGTTGAGATCAATGTGGGAGCCATCAGTGAAAGATTTGTGAAAGGAGTGGAACTTGACCTAGATCTTAGAAAATGGAGAAATTATGGGTGGGGGGAGAAGATTAAATCTGGAATAATTGGCTAAGTATGTGTTCTAGTCTGTAACACTGTGGGTGATATAAATTGTTATAGTTTACTTGTGTCCATAAAAAGCCATCATATAAATTATGAAACACAATTTTAATTCTGCATCAATAACTTTAAGTAGTTCTATGAATTTCAAAAAAAGTCAGATCTCACATGTGACAAACCTTCATCCCTGTGGTAGTAAATTGTCACTTGCTGCAGTATCTTTCTTGAGTTAAGAGAGGTTCCATACACGAAAAGTCAGTTGAAAACCTAAGGCTTAAATGAAAACTTTCTGATCTAATCCAGTTGTCTCATGAAGACATCACTTGTCTATTAGGATTGTCCTCGCAGTGCTACAAAAAGAGTTTTCTGATACACTGCTACATTTTTGGGTCCTTTGACCTCAGAGTTGGGCCAAAAATGATAAAAAGTAAAAGACAATTCTTCTTTGAAATTAGTTAACTAGTTAATTAGATAACTAGTTAGTTAACTAAAGAAAAAAAAAAAAGAAGATCAGTCAGATTTTGATGGAAAAAAGTTATGCCAAGTTCCAAAGGTGTAAAAATACAAAGTGTAGGGAAAGATATATTTCGAGCTTTAAATTGGGTCTGAAAATGTTGCAAGTATGGTTACATATGGCAGGCAAACACAGCACATGCCAAAACAGGCAACGTGAGTGTGAGAAGGTGTGAAGCTTGATCTGTGCCTATGAAGAACATTAGCAAAGAGAATAAAAAAGAAAATATCT